TCCTGGCGCCGCTCCTCGGGGTCCTCTCGGGGCCGGCCGGGTCGTGTCCGCGGTGGCCCGTGTCCGCTGCGGCTTTCTTCTCGGGTCTCTTCAAAGACAAGCCGTAATTTTAGGCCGTCCTACTCGCTACTACCGCGCAGTGACAGCTATGCCTGCGTGATTCATGTACTCAAAGGTCGTTTGACCAGGACCAGGCCTCCGAGCGCTGACTACCCATTGTTTTGTGATAATTCTGTAAAACTATGTTTGCTAGAGAAAAAGATTTCCAAACTGCGTGGACAGTCCTTTCTTTTATACGCCATGTAAGATACTTAGCACCTCGTTCTCTGTTTGAATAAATGTGATTTTTTGATCTTAGTGGGTATATTGTCATTCTTTCAAAAAGCTCTTCCAAGCTATTTCAGTCTGTCATTTGCTGAGTAGATCTCCGTATATCAGTATGCATGTATTTATCATTCTTTGTTGTGAGGCAGTTACGCTTTATTGAGGTTCTTTCATGAACAAACAAACAAATTTTCTCATACCGATGACAACTTCTATTAAGCTAGTGGGAGTTTTGCCTCTGAAAGGAGGAGGGGTTCGGGCTAAGAAAAATATTTGAGCAGAGCAGCAGCTGCAACTTCTGATACATCTTATCCTATGTGAGATATAGGACTTTAAAATATTCATGGAGATGATTCCAATTGGACACAGGCTACCCTAATAAGTTAAAATGACCAATTTAAATGTGTAGAGATGAATACAGGAAATTCTTATTTTACACATGAAGGAAGTAAGACAAAGGGGAATAAGACAATTTAATCAGAGTCACCTCGTGGAGCTTGGAAGGTAACTACATACTCAGGCTGCTCCTCAGCCTTAAATTTAAACTACAAAACCTATTGTAAACTACAAAATTTATTGTAAAGCCTCATGAATATATAACTCCTTAAACTGACACTCACGTTCCGATCACTGAACTATGCGGTTTTACTAATTATTTGATCTCCTGATAAAAATGAAAACAAATATGTTTATCAAACAGCCTCCAGGATTTTAGAATAAAATCAATCCAAACAGTGCAAGTGAAGCTCAATGTAGCATATCATTGTGCTTATAGTAAGCACAAAAGCTCACAGCAGCTCCTATACTCACAACTACCAATTTGTAGATGGAATTACTGAGAGACATCATTTGAGATGAGTTTTTTTTTAACACTCAAGCAGAGTTTTTTTTTAACACTCAAACACAATGCCTTATTGAATTGACTGCTGCAGGCCGAATTCCACCAACTTTAGCCTCTGCGATATCTTTTTAAATCAATGTGCCTTTTGGAAGCACACATCACAAGGCAATTTCCTTGGCAGGTGTTTTTAAAGTAATTGTCTTTTGTGACTGCAAAGTCAATAATACCATTCAAAAAGATATATACCCTCTGCAGTGGTATACTAAGTAAATCTGGACGTGGCCTTTTGCAAAGGTTTGCTCTGAGTTCAAGTACTCGGTGGCGTAATCTCCAGCTACTCTATGGACAAGTTACCACGCATACATCCAAGTATTGGAAAAGTTTCATCGTGTGCATTTTCAAAGTAGCCGACAAATCTAGTTCATCTTTTAGAATCAATAAAATTCCACAAAGAGGTTATGCAAGCAGGAAGCTGTCCTTACGACTGGCACAGCTCTGTTTTAAAGACAACTCAGAAAAAAATTAGACACATATCAAGAAGTGGATAGAGGGTTACAAAGAAATCCTGAAAGAAGGACCTAGTTTGTTGTAACACTTCCCTAAACATTTTTTCACAGAAAAGCTTGTGAATTCAGGTTTTTAAGATCCCTAGAAGTAGGAAGCAAAATAATATGCCAAGTAAAAGTATTTACATAGGAAGACTTCAAGGCAGATACACTAACAACTGAAGAAAAAGCTGTTTGACAAGCAGAGAGAAAGATCCAACAAACAAAACTGCTAAACGTGACTGTATTTCCTCCTGAAACAGGTGAGCTAAATTCAAGAAACATGAAAGATGAGAACAGAAATGTTCCAACAGCCAGCCCTTCACCAAAGTTGAGATAAAAACGTGTATGCAGAATGCATCAGTAGGTGGCAGCCATGTTCCACTTAAAAATTGAGATCCCACAGTTCGAGAGAAAAATTCCCTCACAACGCTGAGATTTTTTTCCTAACTCAAGCGCACTTCATTGAACTAAATTCCCATTTAATCAGCATATAACTTTTAGTTACGTTCCTCCTGCAGTCACTTCTCTAAGCCATCTCCCTTGTTAGAGTTAGACTAGGTAGTTGGGATGCTCACAGCAATATCTCTGCACGCAGTTTACCTTCTTCCCAGTCTGCTGAGCTCTGTTCTGTTACAGACATATCTCCACCATTTCCTCAGCTTGCTCACTGACAGCTAGCTTAGGTGTGAGTTGAGCTGGTAACGATCACTGCTGTATATACAAATCCTTAAAAAAAACCTCGCTGGTTGCCAGAAACAGTTATCAGGAAGGCACTAGTCCAAGTACTGAAAGGAATTATGACGAGAGTTTTTCTTCCGGAGAAAGCAGGTTGTGAACTATTCCCTTAGCTGTGAGGATAGGTGGTTTAAAACATTAAGAATACTTAGGGACTGCAGGAGACTTTTTTTCTGCTTTCTAGTTACAGAGCCACTAGGTTGCATGCTATCAAGTTTCTTCTACGATAGTGAGTGCTAACTGACTAATAGGAATGTAGAGATTTTCCCAGGTGAAATTCCTGCGTAATCAATAGGGGCTATGAGTCAAAGCTTTAAGAAAAGCATTTAGTGTCTCAAGGTTCATGGTAAGATTGCAAAAATAGGCAAGAGTGAAAGTAAACAAGGGAAAGTTGGGGAAAGGGGAAAGCAAAGGAGGTTGCAGGAATGAATACAGAGTCACACGGGGAAAGCGAGGTTAGTAGAAGGACAAGGCAGTTAGCATGGACGCTGTCCTAGGGGATTTGAAAGAATAGAAGTAAGAAGAGGGAAACACATTGGAAGGGAGGAAGAAAGACAGGGAGATTTAGCAAGAAGCGTGAGACTTGCCACGTGCACATTTTTCACTACGCTTGGTCTGTCGTTCCACAATACACGGGCTTCAAGGCCAGTAATAACTGATGAAATAGCCACCCCCCACCACGTGTCCTTGTTGCTCCATCAGTCTTAGCTGATTACCATTTGTGGGGGCCATGCCATCATTTGATAAGTGAATTTATCATGCTATTACTACTGTTACACGATCAACTGCATCCCTGCAGAATGACCACCAGTCTCTGTTTTCCAGCTTCTTAGTACTTAAGAACTGCTTTAAATGTTTAGTTCCATCCTGCATTTGCCATTCTTTTTAAACTTGGCAGCTGGCACTCTGCTAGCAAAATGCTGCCCTCTCCATATTGAACATAAAGGATACCTCTGATTTTCTACAGTGATATATTTAACTTTCATTTGGTAGAAGATTTAACTTTTAAGAACAATTTGTTTATTTCAGTGATCGTATCTATTTGCTTGTGAGAGTTCTGTTCTAAAGCTCATGGAAACAGGATTAGTTTGTGTACTTTCAAGATCTCTTGTTTGGATTTTTGCATCTGCAAGTTTCTTTATATACTCTGTTTTCCACCCACAATTCAAGCACATTGGACTCTGGTTTTGCAAACTCCTTTTTTCCTGCTTATTAGTGAAAAATTTACAGCGTATCTCTAATCTCTCATTTTTGTATGCTGTCGTATAGTTAAATAAGAGGGTCTTAAAATATGGATGAAATTTAGCATCTGCTTTAAAACCCAATAACCATCAAGAAAACTCAATGGGCATGTTACTCTAGAATCTTTTTTCTGCCAGCCTTGTTGGATGTTGAAGGCCGTATCACACTGAAAACGTAAGTCGGACAGAGCGTTTTTCATTGTACATGTATTTTAGGTTTACTTTCTGTAAATCAGAACACGCTCAGGGAAACTACCCTTTTTTGACTTGGGTCTCGTTATTACTAGTATGAGTGAATAAATCAAATCTCTGATGTCTGTCACACACTGTTTGACACTTACCAATAATTGCATTTATATTTGAAACTAACATCCAAATTCTTGGATGTTGAAAATCATAATTTGGTTAAATCCAGAGGTCAATGATTTATGGTTGTAAAAGCATATAATGAAGAAAGGGTTCTTATTTCAACAATTTTACATCTAACTGCTTGTTAAAAGTTCTGTCATCAGAAAAAATCAGAGTGGAAGCAGGGCCACATTCCATACTTAGTGCTAAAGATGTTAGTTGCACAGCACCCAGAAAACAAAGTGAACAAGCTAAGCGTACTTCTGATAACAACCGGGATACTACTTCCGTTTTAAAAAAAAAAAAATCCTTTGAATGATCATCCTCTAATCAAACTTCTAAATTGAAGAGCTCCTAAACATATGAATCATCACTTCAAGGAGTTAGCACATTAAAAAAATATGCTTTTCCTTTATAAAAGCATAGACAATTTGTGTCTACTATTCCATATTAATCAGTGTTTTAATTGTTTTCAGTTAAGGGCCCAGCCTCAACCCCAGACAAATCAATAGAGCTATCTTGAACGTGGTAGGGATAT